GAACTCACAGATAAGGAATTCAAAAGAATTACATTTAGAAAAACACAGACAAAACTCTAGAACAATTTAGGAAAACAATACAAGAACAAGCTGACAAAATAAATGAAAAATTAGAAACTACAAAAACACCAAATAGAAATCCAGATTAATATTAAAATTTTAGAAATAGATAACACATTGAAAGGGTAGAGTTGAATCAATGGAACAAAGAATTAGTGAGATTGAAGACAAATCTTTCAATACTACTTTGTTAAGGGAAAAATCATGAAAAAGATTTAAAAAACAAAGAGGAAAGTTTAAGATTTATGTGAGATACCATCAAGAGGAATAACTTATGCATGATTGGAATTGCAAAACAGGAAGAGACAAATAAAACCACAAAGAAAAATTGTTAAAGTTTTCTTGGAAGAGAACTCTCAAATATGATAAAAAATGAGAAGATATACATTCAAGAAGTTTGTGAACATCAAACAGGATAGACCCCAAAAGAAAATCACCAAGACATTTCATAATCAAACTTACCAAAGACAAAGACAGAGACAAAGGAAGAATCCTGAAAGCAGCACACAAAAAATGAAAAGTTACCTACAAAGGACAACCAGTAAGACTAAGCTCTGATTACTTGGCAGAAACCATGCAGGTGAGAAGGCAATGGATGACACGTATAAAACCCTGAAAGAAAAAAGTTGCTAATAAAGAATTACATATCCAGCAAAATTGTCTCTCAAATATAATGGCTAAATAAGTACATTTCCAGATAAATAGAAATTAATAATTTGTAAAAACCAGACCAACCTCACAAGAGACGCTAAAGGAAGTCCTTCGGACAGAGAGCCAGCAACAGTAGTCAACAACTCATGATTAACATACTTGACATAACCCAGAAACCAACCCACATACAGAAGCATCCAAAGTAAAATAAACTTAAAAGACTCTAAACAGGGAACCAGAGACATCAATTGGTAAATGAGGACAATTATAAACCAAAAAGAGGGAATAAATATTAAAGGTACAGAACTTCTAAATGGAGAGGAAGTCAAGATGATTTTGAGATGGAACGGAGTGTTTTAAACTTGGGAAGAAAATAATAAATCCCAGAGTAACCTCAGAGAAAGTAAATAAATAAGTATATAAACATCATCAAAATGAAAAAGAGGAAAGGCACAAATAGAATGAACAAATCTGTCCTGGAGGAAGTATAGCCAGAATGCTCCTTGGAAGCAAGAATGGCCAGACTTTGTCTTACCTACTTTGTTCCTGTTGTCAGAAAGGACCATTCCCTGGAGAAGGATGTCACAATTGGTAAAGTGGATGGTCAGAAAAAAAGGGAAAAGCCCTCAATGAGATGGATTGACACAGTGGTTGCAACAGTGGGCTCAAGTATAGCAGGGAACATGAGGCTGGCACAGGACCGGGCAGTGTTTCGTTCTGTTGTACATAGGGTCGCCATATGAGTTGGCGCCAACTTGACAGCACTTAACAACAACAACAACGAAAGCAATGAAGGAAATGTTTGAAAAATTCATAAACAAAATGAGTTCGGCACAGAAAATTATACGGAACAAAGAAATCAGCAGCGCTACAAAAAGGCATTCAACTAAATGACAGCAATAAATTCACACTTCTCGATAATTACACTGTATATAAATGGATCATATGCATGAATCGAGAGACAGAGAGTTGCAGAGTGGATAAGAAAACATAATCCATCAATATGCTGTCTGAAAGAGACACATGTTAGACACAAAGACAATAACAGACTAAAAAGTTGGAAAAAAATATACAAGTGAATGGAAATCAAAAAAGGGTCATAGTGACAATATTAATTTCTGATAAAATAGACTTTAAGACAAAAACCATCATAAGAGACAATAAAAGACATTATGTAATCATTAAAGGATCACTCAAACAAGAAGACTTAACCATAGTAAAATGTCTTCGCACTCAATGAAAAAGCCCAAAATACATGAATAACACTTTAACAGAATTGAAAAGAGAAGTAGATGACTCTACACTAATAGTTGTTGTTAGGTGCTGTCTAGTTGGCTCTGATTCATGGGGACCCTGTGTACGACAGAATGAAACACTGCCCGGTCCTGTGCCATCCCCACAATTCTTGCAATACCTGAGTCCATCATTGTAGCCACTGTATCAATCCATCTGATATATTTAATAGAGCTAACAGGGGTCAAAGGTATGGTATCTTCTTAGCCACGGCCAAACACCTTAAGGAAGTGAGTCACTGGGCCCATGGGCTAAGGACCATGGTCATAGGGGACATTAAGCTCAATTGGCATAACATGCCACACAAAAACATTGTTCTACACTCTACTTTGGTAAGTAGCGACTCCTGTCTTAAAAGCTTGCAAGTAGCCATCTAAGGTGCAATAATTGGTCTCTCCTCGACTGGAGCAAAGGAGAGTGAAGAAAATCAAAGATGCATGGAAACAGTCCAAGGACTAGTGGACCATGGGAACCTCAGCCTGCATAACCCTGAGACCAGAATAACTGGATGGCACCTGGCTACCACTGCGATCAATCAGAAAGGGATCAAAATTGGAGGTCCTGGATGGAGTGGGAGAAGAAAGTGGTACAAAACTCAAAATTATGTAAAAGACCAGGCTGACTGGTCTGATAAAGACTGCTGAAACCTGAGACTATGGCCCTTAGTCACCCATCAGGCTTGGAATTGAGCTCACTCCCGGCCAAACAATAGACTAGCCTATTAGATGAACTGTTACACCAGATAGGTCAGATAGAACAGTCATCTATGGGTGATCAGAGAGACAGCATTTGCACAGGGACAAAGCTGAGAGGGGAGGAATGCTTAGGAAAGAAGGACAGGGAAAAGTCACCACAGGGAGGAAGTGGTAAGAGAGCTGTTACATTGTGGGGATTGCAATCAATATCATGAAACAAAATGTGTATGAATAGTTGAATGGAAAATGAATTTGCTCTGTAAACTTTCACCCAAATCACAATAAAAATAAAAGAAAGAAAGAAAGAAATTGAATAGAGATACTCCTTGGAAATGTGCCCAGAAATCATGTGGAAATGAAACAGCCTACTTAATATAGCAGCAAGTGGGTGAGTGAGGAACACGGGGTAGAGGTTAATAGAGATTATGCATATTGAAAATTCACATTCACATTTGACGTGCATTTCTTTTCAGAAATAGACTGTGGCACCCCTCCTGAGGTCCCAAATGGCTATATCGTTGGAAATTATACATCTAGACTGGGCAGCCGGGCTCATTATGCTTGCAAAGAAGGATTTTTCAGTGGCCCAGAAGATACAGTTTCAATCTGTACAGTTTTGGGCACATGGGAGTCCCCCAAATTATACTGCCAAGGTGAGTTGAGTTAGGTTCCCAACTTTTGAGATTGTTCCATACTTCTTTCTAAATCATACTTTTGAAATTAGTCAAAAATATCAGTTGATTCTAAGAATAACATCTTATCATCTGTAAAGAATTACAATTCCACCTTAGATTTTTCTGTATTTGTAGAAGTTATACTTTTTTTTTTTTTCAATTGGCCTAGTATTTTCAGCACAAAAATTTAACTAGTAGTGTTGACTTTGGTTATTATTTTCTTATTCCTGACTTTTGTGGGAATGAGTTTAGTGTTTCATCATTCATTCATGATCTTTAATAAGTACACTTTCCTTGTGTTATGTGCCAAGTACTGATCTAAACATTTTATATATATTGACTCATTTAATCCTTACAGTATCCCTGTGCGTTAGGACTATTATTGTCACATTTTACTGAGGTAAGTAGGGCACGGAGAGCTTACGTATTTGTCCAAGGTCACACAAAGAGTTGAAATTTGAACCAGCAAATCTAACGTCACAAGTTGTACCCTTAACTACTCTGTCATACTGCTTCTATTTTGATGATGATGTTGGCTTTTGGTTTGATTTTGACTTTTGACTTTCTATTTCAATCTATTCCCACTTTACTAAAACAGTTTTTTTTTTTTTTCTAATCAGAAATGAGTTTTTTTTTATCACATATCTTTTAAACATGTATTAAGATGATCATATATGTTTTCCTCCTCTTCTTCAATAATGTGGTGGATTATATTTTTAGGTTTCCTGATAATGATCGTTGCTAACTCAGGGAATGAATTCTGTGTCTTTGGTATTTTATTCTTTTAATCTGGATTAGATTTGCCAACTTAAAATTCTTGCATTGATATTCATAAGTGAGATTATTCTGTTTTCCTTTTTGATGATGTCTTTAATGAGTTTGGTATTAGTATTATTCTGAATTAAAAAATAAATAAATAAAAAGAACGTAAAGCATTTCCTTCTTTCTTTATTCACTGCAAACCAAACCAAACTCACTGCCTTTGACTTGATCCCTGACTTATAGCAGTCCCTTCTTGGGTTTCTGAGACGGTATCTCTACAAAAGTAGCTTGCCCAGTCTTCCTTCCAAGGAGTGGCTCATGGGTTTGAACCACTGCCTTCTGGTTAGCAGTCAAATGCTTTAGGCACTATGCCACCAGAGCTCCCACCAGAGCTCTAGAATAGTGTAAATCGAATTTGTAAAGAGTTGAGAGATTTCACCTAGAAAACCATGTGGATGTGGCACTTTTGGGAAGGAAAATAAGCATGTTTCTTCCTATGCTTATTAGCTGTTTAAGTTTTCTATCCCTTTTGAGATCAATTTTAGTAATTTACATATTCATAGAAATTCATCTGTTTCAACCAGGTTTTCAAATTTACTTGTACATAGAAGCATAAAGTATCCACACTTACAATTTTCTATAGTTATATTTGTTTGTAATGGTGAAACGTTAGAAATAACCCCAATAGAAGAATGGTTAAGTAAATTGTAGCACATCCATAAAATTAAATATTATGTAGCCAATAAATATTACGTTGGAAAAAATAATACGTATTGATATAAATATTCACAGTGTATTACTGAGTTACAAATTGTGTGAGTAACATGATCTTATTTTTGAAAAAAATCCATATGCATGGATATGTTTAGGAAACAGTCTAGGTGTCTACATAAAAATGTTGTCAGTGGTCGTTACTGGGGTGAGGAGGTCCTGGATGACTTGTGTATTTTGTGTACTTTTTATATTGAATAAATTTCTAATGTATTCCAAAAAAAAAAAAAAAAAAACCGCAGTGCCACTGAGTCGGTTCTGATGCATAGCGACCCTTTAATACAGAGTGGAACTGCCTCACAGACTTTCCAAGGCTAGAAATCTTTGCTGGGACACACTGCCTCATCTTTCTTCCCTGGAGCAGCTGATGGGTTCACACTGCTGATCTTCTGGTTGGCGGCCGAATGCCTTAAACACTATGCCACCAGAGCTCCTTCTCATGTATTAGACTGAATAATACAGCTGTCTCCGTTTTGGAAAAAAACAAGCAGTTTTCACTGAATTTATTGCATAGCTAAGAAACCTCAGAGATGTGTTTGGCCAAGTTAATCATTTTGATATTCTGATTTAGGGTTCAGACAGTAAACACATTTTGATAGTCAATTAAGAATTCTGAAAGGACTTTTTTTTTTTTTTTTATTAGGATTTGGGTGAAGATTTACAGAGTAAATTCACTTTTCATACAGCAGTTCCCATATACTT